GAGCCAGTGGCCATTTTGTAAACAACCTGAGCAGGCCCAAGAGCCAGATATCCACTTTCCAGTGGTTCTCCCATTACCAGGAGTCCTCATTAGGGTTGGAGAGGGGCTAGGGTCTACAGCCACCGAGATGAGACCCCATGCTCACCTCTGTCCACCTCCCCACACCCTGAGCCCGGGACCTTGCCCAGATTGATGCTGGTGAGTCTGCCAGTGGGATGTCTGTGGGTGGGCAGCTGAAGGAGCCTGGTCAGGAAATAGCGGCTGTGGTGGAGGGCTCTTCCTCCCACCCTGTGCATACAGCTGCTCCTGCTGGCAACCAGTTCAGGACAGGCCTCTGTCCCAGGCTGGCTTTGGCTTCCCAATGTTCCCTTGGGTGGAGGACAGTGTGTGTCTAGGGAAGCCTTTGATCACATGCTCCCAAACTGAGGGTCTCCACTTTCCCTCCCTCCATGCCTGCCCTCCTCCCCCTTGGTTAGTCCGCGCCCCACTTGCTGCTAGCGCCAGCAAAGCTAGGGTTTGCATTGGCTTCAGGCCAAACCCCGGAATGTGCCTGCTGGCTGCCCGGCAGCTGTTCCTGGAAGAGGGGCGACAATGCACGGACTGTCTGTGAGATGGGGGGTGGACGGGGTGCAGGCTGTGCATGAATAGACCACAGAGGCCCTGAGACAGGGATGAATGGGTTCACTGGGCCCAGACACCCCTGAATGGGTTAGGACATCCAAAGATGCACTGGAGCTTGGAACTGGCCACCCTGGAGCCTCGACCTGGAATGTGGCCCTATGTGAGGTCTAGGAAGAGGTAATGGTAAACACGTGTCACCCCCAAAACCCTGGTGGTCTAAGGGAGAGCATACCCCAGTACTAAGATCCACAAGTATACTCAATTCAGGGACTAAGATAGGGGTTACAAGGGATAGTACCCCAATTCTAGACAGAGTCAAAGGTCATGTCACGTATATACTGGTATGTGTCAGGCACAGCACTGTGGAAGTCAGTTATGGGGGTGCAAGATACTCAGATTCTTGCATCAGTGGGGTTCATATCTTCCACATGCTGCTGGATTGTGGGGGTCCTCAGATATCCACAGCAGGAACTCTGATGCTCAGAAGGTGAAGCAGCCAGCCTGGCGCCATGCATGACTAGAGACTGGGACTAGAAGGAATATGGATTCACATGGGCCGTGACGCCCGCTAGTGATGAATGGGCAATGTACGTCCAAAGACGCAGTGGATCTTGGAACGGCTGCTGGGGGCCCTTGCCTTGGGATGTGGGCCTACGTGAGAGACAGGCAGTGGGGTGTTAGGCTGCCAAAGACCCTGGTGAAGGAGGACAAGCTGTCCAAACCTCAGGCGATGATGAAGAGGAAGACTGGAGCCTTGGAGTGGGGGTGCATGTCAGCATCAGCCAGCACTCTTGGGTTGGCGCACAGCTCCTGGGTGTAGGGGAGGGTTGGCTGAGACCCTGGAAAATGGGGCGGGGGAGTTGTGGGGTGATTCTTGAAGTCTTTTCTACCTAGCAGTTTAGAGAAATGAGGGGCAGGCTGCCAGACACCCAGAAAAGCAAGGGTTCCCAGGAAGAAGTTGCAGGGCCCAGCTAGTCGAGAACACGAGCATGAACTCTCTGGTTAGCTCAAAGGAAGGCACAGTCACCATATCTCCGGCTCTGTAGGCAAACGGACAAGACTGAACCCAGCCTTTGATGGACCAAGTATGCTTGTGGAGATGTATGAAAGGTGCTCCCATCTCTGAGAATCTGTACACAGCACAGAGACATCTGGAGGTGGATCCCAGCTGTACCTGTGCAGAGAGGACTGGGGTAGAGCATGAAGACCCTCAGATAGAAGGACACAGGACAGTGAGCCTCATAAAGTGGGGCTCTTGGAACCTATCTATTGTGATACTGAGAGTAAAAGGCACCTAGATACTCAGACAAGTGAGGTACCAGGTCTCCATAGTCTAGTCACCCTAGTACTCAAGTGACAGAGGACCCACTGGCCAACAAAGGGTGACACAGAATCTGGCAGAGAAGGCTGGAAATGAAACTCATAGTGTAGAGTGCTTGGCTAGTAGACATAAGACCCTTAGTCGATCCACAGTACTGTATAAACTGCACTTGGTAGCCTGTAATCCCAGCACTCAGGAAGTGTAGTCAGGAGGATCAGAGCTTAAAGGCCATCTTCAGCTACATAGTGAGTTCCAGGCCAGCCTGGGCTACATGAGACCCTGTCTTTAAAACATAAAGAAGTTGCTACTATATCTTTCAGGGGGAGAATATGGATAAATCCTGTAAAGCCCAACTGTCCACAAAAACCCACTTATAGGACATGGGGTGGCCAGGATGGAAATGCTAAAGAGATTGTGAATGGGGAACTCAGGTCCACAGTACAGTGGACTGTGGGGACTCCATGTTCAACTCATGAGGCATAGGTACCACACATTTGGACCCAAGGGGTACAGAGATCAGAATTCAGCAATCAGCACTTGAACAGGCTCAGTTCAGGGGGCACAGGTACAGAGTGTAGACACCTGGGAGGCTGGAGGTGGGCAGGCAGCCCAGAGCTCAATGAATGGCACACAGAGAGCTGAGACAAGGGTGAATAGGACGCACACAGCAGTGTGATGCCCAGGAACAGCGTGTCCAAAACCACAGGAACGCAGTGCCCGCCCTGGGCCTCCAGTCTGGCAGGCGGGCCTATGTACCTTGAGTCAATAGGCAATTCAGTAGGCCTAACAAGTGGGGTACAGGCTGTCCAAGACCCTGATGACCACAGAATGGAGCTCTTGTTCCCAAATGAACAGAGAACAGGTCACTCAGCTGCAGAGACTTTTGGGTACATGGGCCATGTACCCCAGATATTCGCAAATGTCACAAATGTAAAGACACCATGCTATGGTTTCCCTAGATGAACAAAGACTCCCCCCCCCAAAAAAATCAAGGTGTATAAGGGCTTCATAAAGCTATGATAGATGGGGCTCTAGACTCCAATTCTCTGAAGCCCTTGGGAGATGCATCCAGGCACCCAGTGAGTGAGCTCCACCATGATAGGGCATGTGTTGCCATGAATATAGGAGATGGAAGACTCACCCAGGCACTGCAGACATCAGGGTTCACATCCCTGAAGGCTCCAATATAGAGTCTCAAAACTCAGTGTGTCATATCCAGAGAAGCCATAGTGTAACACCACGCTCTCGTAGGGTGCATGGTCCTGATGTTGCAGTGATAGTCCCACATCAAAGCACAGGCAGGAGGTACACTCCCTTAGTAATGGTGCCATTTCTCTAGATTCTGGGACAATGGTGTGTAGCCTCCCTGGGTGGTTAAGAGATGGGGATTGTGTTCTTTGGGTTACTAGCAGTGGCTCAGTGTGCATTCTCCTGTGTGTGAGTGAATGGATGAAGCCTTACCAGATGTTCAAGTAATGAGGTACAGGCTCCTCAGATGTTTAGAAGTTGGGGTTCAGCTTCCCAAAGTGTTTAGATAATGGGGTTTGGGTTTGTTCTGATGCTTGGATGTTGGGAGTACATTCTCTCTCAGTGTGAAAGGCATAGATAATCTGAGTGGACACACAAGCTACATACAGAGGTCTGGGACAAGTTGAGCACCCATCTTTTGCTGTCCCAGGTCCCAGGTAAAAGAGGCTGCCTAGGAGGATACGGCCCACAGCAGGGTCAGTACAGACAGGGAACACGTGTCCCATCCCAGCACGTCTCTTGCTTCCCTGCCAGAGGCTCCAGGCTCTCTCGCCAGCGTCTGCCGTGTGTTCTGACCTCAAACATTCCCCAGGCATCCTCAAAGGAAGCATCCGAGTCCAGGAGCCCCGCCAGGGTCTCCACGGGGCTTCTGGCTGCCAAGCCGCCGTCTGGGGGCCGCAGGCCTGGCCATGGGCTGCCAGCTCTGTTTGGTTTTCCCCTTCCTGCCTCAGAACCTCAGACGCCGTCTCGCCACGGAGGCGCCCTCATTCTGGAGAGGCACAAAGCCCCTACACAGCCAGGTTATGGGAGCTACTTGGGGGGCCTGAAGCTCTGCTGCACAGGGGTCTGCTGGGTCCCAAAGTACAGGTGCTTGCTACCAGGGTGTCTTGCTATCTCTGCAGGCATACCACTGGCCCCTTTGATCTTATTTGTAAGTCCCTATCACAGAACCTAAATCATACCAGAGGGTAGATCCATCTCATGTCTCTACCCATGTGCCCAGAGCCACTTATGAAAAGCATGGGTGGGTGTACATATCCCACATGAGGTAGTCCCAGAGCATTCTACAGCAGAAGTTTCCTCAAAATGGCCTGTCTCTCACCAGCCCAGAGACGTTAACCATTACACATTCCGATGTCTGACTTCCAGAAACAGATAAGGGACTGTAGAGTGACCAGACCGGACCAACTGGTCAGAGCACAATGAGGAGCTCAGACTATGACCTTGGTTGAACCTAAACCAAGTTACTGAATAGATTATTGCCAATAGTCTAACCTCAGACACCAGGAAGAGGGCTTGCTCATTGGGAAGCTAAAAACTCAAGGGAATGAGTCAGGATGGCCTCCAGAACATTCTCTAAGGGTGGCAGTGAAGTCAGTCAGGCCCCCATGGCCCCAGGATAGTCCGCCACGGCACCAGGCAGCTCCCTTACAACGCTCCACCCTCTTTGTGCTAGCTTCCCTAGACCAGCATTGCCAGGAGGCACATTCTTCAACTAAGCAGGTTGTGACTCAGGACTTCTGGGTGTGTGAGCCTGCACAGAGGTCAGCCCAGCAGCCCTATCACCCCCTTTTGCAAAGTTTGGTGTGGCTTGGAGTAACCTCCAGCCTTGAAGAACACCCCGAGATAGCCTGGAGTCCAGACACCTGCTCCAGGGCCTCAGAGAGGGTAGACCTTCTCTCTCAAGGGAGCTTTCCTGGCTTATGAGGGCCAGTAGTTCCGATCATAAGGTGGGGCTCCCCAAAGCCCTGCCTCCACACCCCTTCTTTCCCGCAAGATTCATTTGATCACTAGCAACAGGCACCGCCGACTCTGCTGTGGGCCTCAGGTGCTTCCTAAGAGTGGACAACCAGCCTCTCAGTGGCTAGGGTGTGAGCAAGGAGGCCAGAGCCCACCAGTCACGGGAAGCAGTAGGTATCAGGTGAGGAAGGGATCACCCCTATGCTTGGGGGTGGGTGTCTTGCTTTTCTGGGGCAAAAGAACACGGAAACCTGTTCCCTATGAAATAGCACAAGGTCTGGTTAGGCTGAGGGTAGACAGAGTTGGTAACAGGTCTAACCCCGGAAATGAGTACCCGACTCTGGGCTGGCAGAGAATTTGGAGGAGAGGCCCAGTACTGTTCTGCATGGCTCCTGTCTTAAACGGGTCACTCGGTGACATCCAGTATGAGACTGGGTAGTTGTGAGGGACTGGATAGGAGTACCTGGAGAAAGTAAGGGCTCAAGCAAGCCTTGGAAGATGAGTGGAGTGAGAGAGGCTGGGGTCATGGATGCAGGCCTCAGACCCCGGTGTGAGTCAGACACCCTGCCTAGAAGGGATTACAGAACTAGATATGCACAGCCACTGGGAAGGAGCTTGGAGATGGAGCAGAGACTCCCAACTCCCTTTCCTAGGTCAAACAGTGCTAATCCCTTGAAAGAGTCTTCTGCAGCAGTCATAGAAGACAGACTGCCAAAGCAGGACGATAGGGTGGGACTGGGGAATCACAGAGCCTCTTTTCTATCTGTCCTGCTCAGGCTGTTCACACTTTTCCTTAAAGTAGCAAACTGAATGCTTCTGGTAGGTGAGGACCAGCGGGAAGAAGGGCTCCACCTGGTGGCTGACTTTCCACTTGCACCTTTACCACCATTGGAACCTGGGGGTCCTAAGGGACCTTGATGTCTCCAGGCCTTGAAATTCTCCCTAGTACCAGGAGCTGGTGTTTCTGAGGCCCCAGAATCTTCCAGAGACAGCTTCCAAACAGCCTGAAGTCCCCTATAGGCATGTGTCACCACCATACTATCCAGGATGCCCTCCTGAGCTACATACAGTTACAAGTCACAGGTTCTGGATGCCACTTGCTGTTAAGGTAAGGGAGGGAGGACTTTGAACAAGAAGGACACACTCACATTCTCTCTCTCTCTCTCTCTCTCTCTCTCTCTCTCTCTCACACACACACACACACACACACAGAGGGAGGGAGAGAGAGAGAGAGAGAGAAGAGAGAGAGAGAGAGAGAGAGAGAGAGAGAGAGAGAGAGAGAGAGAGAGAGCAATGTTACTTGAATTCCAACATTCATACCAGCTCCACCATTTCCAAATGGTAAATGTGTCTTTGAGCTCCACTTGAAGGCCAGATTTCCTTGAACCTGACCTCAGCCCTCCTATGCTAGGGACCCTTGAGGACCAACACCTCAGCTCCAGCTCCTAGTAGATTCTTTATAGTCATTATGGCCTCTTGCAAAAACCCTCTGCACCTCTGCTCCAGGGCCATGCTAACTTCAGAGCACCAGCCTCAGGCCATCCTTGAAAACATTATGGTCCCACAAGTGCAGGACCTCTAAAGGGAGACCTAGAAGGCAGAGCCTGGTCCCCTTCTGATTTGCAGCTGCCTCAAATCACTGAGAGATGGAGGGTTCTGAGCTCTGTGAGCTGTGGCTGCCTCTCTCCCACCTGCCAGTTAGTGAGCCACTGATGTTGCAGGAGAGGGTATCCTTTGGAATCATGTTGGGGACTCCAGGCTGAGGGTACGAGAGCAAGAGGGTCTATTAGTCACCCCTGGAGGGGTGGTCTGGTCTAGTAACTTGTATGCAGTCTGGGCTTAGATATATATGGCAGGAGGGCTGGCAGGCTCATGTGGCACAGTGGAGTTAGACTCAAGTTTTAGAAACTGAGTTTTGGCCGGCAGTTGCCATCTAGGGAAGCTAAGGAGTTGGGGGATCTGAGTTTGGGGAGTCACAGTGGCTCCCAGCCTCCAGCTGAGAACCCCACCCTTTCTGCTCATGGGGGAAGAAGCCAGCCTGCCAGGTGTGCACCTTCCTCAGGCCTCAGGCAGGTAGGGTACAGAGGCCAAAGCAGCTTCATGGCCTCCTCCTTTCCACTCCCATGCCAAGGGTGGCCAAGCAGGCAGGTAGGCAAGTTTGGGCGGGCATTGATTCAGCATGGAGGAATGTTCAGGCTCTCCCAGCTATGCCGTGCCCCTGCCTGCCCCTACCTCGCCCTCATCCTCAGGCACTACTGGCCTGGTGCCCATGCCAGCAAAGCTCCTTCAGCCTAGGCTTGCTGGAGCACATGCCCACCTACTGGTGGCCCTGTGCCCTGCATCCCCAATTCCTTTCTACATGACTTCATGGCCCATGCTACTCTTGGACCTGAGGCTACAGTGAACCAACTGGACTACCTTGTAGAAGATAGTGGGTCTTTGGAATGTAGAGAGCTATCATGGGCCCTCTACAAGAGACAAGACGTCACTAAAACTGATAAAAGGCTTCTGAGTCCTAGAAAAAAAGGATAGAGCTCTTCGTGAAAAGTAAGTTTGGAGGTTCCAAGTGAGCAAGGGCCAGCAAAAGCAAGTGGCAGGCTGCCCCCAGGCCAGGCCGGGCCTACTTGTCTGGGGTTGGAACTGAGGAAAGTGGCAAGTGGCTGGGCTTGAGGCAGCTAAGTCAATTCTTTGGCCAGGGCCCAGAGCCTCTCTCTATCTGGTTTCCTGACTAGCATTCTTGCCCCTGGCCACCCTAGGCTACCTTCTTGCTTTGGATGGACTCAGTACTGGCTGCAGCCAAGTGAAGAAGCAATACACAAAGAGACACCCCTCAAGTGACCTGGATTCCACAATTATCTTCTCAAAGCCAATAGGATCAGGAAGATGGGGCATGGCTCGATCCCCCTCAGTACCTCTGCCCCAGTTGATGCCACAGCTGGGCCCAGTCTTATTCCAGACCTCATTACCAAGATTCCCTGTGAGTGGTTGGAACTTCAAAAGTGGTACGGGCATGGTTCAGCCTAGTGGGGAGCCAGATTGCCTAGAGAGACATTTCAACAGCCTGTGCCCCTGGCCTAGGGCCTCGCTGGACACTCTTTATCGCCATCCTTGCTGCTGGAGTCCTCTTAGTCTCCTGTCTGCTCTGTGTCATCTGTTGCTGTTGCTACCGCCACCGCCACAGAAAGCAACCCAAGGATAAAGAAGCTGTGGGCCTGGGCAGTGCTCGTAACAGCACCACTACTCACCTGGTGAGGAGCAGAAACCCAAGTCTACCTGTGTCCAATCCTGTACTGGCTCACTCCAGGGAGGGGGATGCAAGGTTCAAGCTAGGGAGCTCACAGCAACCCTGGCAGGCCTTCTTCTCAGAGGAAGGAGACGAGCAGAGGTGATGGGGGAGGAGACATTCAAGAAGCAGGCAGATGCTAGTCTGTGGGCCATTGGAAGCTACAGTAGTAGCATACATGTTGTGTTGAAGGAAGATCTGGTTGGTCTCAGGGAGCTGTTCTGAGGCTATGTGGGCTGGCCTGCTGATGGTGGTTTGATCTGTGTTATAATTGTCCAGATCTCTGGTTGGAGATTGGTCTCAGTCATACTTGTCCGATCACCCACCATCCACCCCAGGTTCAACCAGATGTAGACTGCCTGGAGCCCTGCTCTGGAGGGGACCCACAATGGGGACGGCTCCTGCTCTCACTGGAGTATGATTTTGGAAGCCAGGAGGTAAGGCCCAGTCAGCAGGCCCAGAGGCTCCATGGTTGGTGGAGGATGTGATGGATGAAAAGCCAGGCAGAGGGGAATAAGGGAAAAGAATCCTTCTCTCAGCCTGAGCCAACTCATTGGCCCCCAGATTAGAGTGGGCCTGAAGCAGGCTGGAAATCTGAAGGCTGAGGGCACAGCAGACCCCTATGCCTGTGTCAGTGTTTCCACCCAGGCTGGGAGAAGACATGAGACAAAGGTACACCGTGGGACACTCTGTCCCATGTTTGAAGAGACCTGCTGCTTTCTGGTAAGTCTAGCCTGGGTAGATAGAGTGGGCTGGAGCCAGGGCAGCAGGACCCAGCTCATAGCCCTGCCTGCAGGTCCCATCAGCAGAGCTGCCCAACACCACTCTGAAGGTGCAGCTGTGGGACTTCAAGAGGTTTTCAGAACACGAGCCACTGGGGGAGCTTCAACTACCACTGGGCACAGTGGATCTTCAACATGTCCTGGAGAGCTGGTACCAGCTAGGTCCTCCGGGTATGACTGAGGTAAGCCTAGCTGGTAGGGGCCCGTGTAACATGGGGGAGACCAAGGTCTGAGTGTTGTTCCTGCTAAGCTCAAACCCCCAAGGGTAAGGATGACCCTCCCAGATGCAGCCCTGTCTTGTTGCCCACAGCATGAGCAGATGGGGGAGCTGTGCTTCTCACTGCGCTATGTGCCCAGCTCAGGCCGCCTGACTGTGGTTGTACTGGAGGCTCGGGGCCTGAATCTGGGTCTTGCAGGTGAGAGCTATACTTGTGTGGACAGGGAGCTGGACCTTTGCCATGTGCATGTATGGGACTCCCTTCTTGAACTCTCTTGCTCATGCAGAGGCCTATGTGAAGGTCCAGCTTATGTTAAACCAGAGAAAGTGGAAGAAGAGCAAAACATCCTCCAAGAAGGGCACAAATACCCCCTACTTCAACGAGGCCTTTGTCTTCCTGGTTCCCGTTAGCCAGCTCCAGGTAGAGAGCCGGGAGGAAGGGCAGAGCGGCCTGAGACATTGTGTCAGGCCAAACTGACAACTGTCCCCTCTCCATGTCTGCAGAGTGTGGATCTGGTGCTGGCTGTCTGGGCCCGTGGCCTGCAGCTCCGGGCTGAGCCTGTGGGTAAAGTGTTTCTGGGTCCCCGGGCTTCAGGCCAACCCCTACAGCACTGGGCAGACATGTTGGCCCATGCTCGGCGGCCCATTGCCCAGTGGCACCACCTGCGGTCTCCCAGGGAAGTGGATCGTGCTCTGGACCTGCAGCCTCGCCTTCCCCTGCTTAGGCCTCGTTCCTGAAAGAACCGTAGGTCTCAGTTTTCCCAAATGGAGAGCTGTGGATATTTGTGCAGGCTCTTCAGATCTCTCTGTAATAAATGCATCCTCTTTCACACTCATGTGTCCTGATGGAGCTCTGTGTGGAGGATCTGAGATAGATGAGGGGCTACACTTTGGTACTGGTGCCCTCTCAAGGATGGGGTGGGGTACTCTGAACAGATTTGCCAGTCCTGAGCCTCTGCTTAAGCCTAATTCCTAGGCCTTTCCCTGGAAGATGGGCACCACCCTCTCTGCCAACCAGGACTGGCAGAGGAGCAGGAGACTAGAGCTGGTGCTGTGAAGACAAAGAGGGCAACTGGGGGGAGTGGTGGGTAGGTACAGTTTGGGGAAGAGACCCTAACACCATGAGGGATGGTGATATAGTATCTTCTGTACTACCAGCAGGGGGCAGTAGATGCCTTTGGAAGCTGCTCCGGGGCCTTTGGGGGCTCACAGCCCTGGCTTGTGATATACCTCTTAATCCCAGCACATCTGGCGGGCTTTAGCAGTTCCAACCCTCCTCTGATCCCCAGGGGCCCCAGAGCAGCAGGGTTGGGGCCAAGCCATGATCTGGTGTCTCTGGGTGGGGTTCAGGAGCGGGAAAGGAGCAAGGGCCTGGCCCCAGTGAGCCGGGCAATGCAGGGCCTGCCTAGGCAACCAAGGGCTCTGAGCCCCCACAGGTCAAAGAAAGGTTCCTAGGGCGGTGGCACCACTCTCTGGGGCTGAAGGACATGTTCTAAGTTGCCTGTACAGAGGCACCCATGGGCAGGGTGTATGGCAGGCTGGGAGAGGCCCAGCTGCTGGTCCAGGGTCCCACTTGCTTCTCTTCCTGGGCAGAAAGGCAAGCCCACTACAAGAGATAGGCACCACTCTTCTGCGCCCTGACTACCTACCACACAGGGCCCAAGAGAATGCTTTTGTTTTTGTTTGGGCTGTGTGTGTGTGTGATTTTGCAGGAGGACTGGTGAGGTAAACAGTCAGCTCAGGGGCCTAAGCAGGGCATGGGCACCCAGCAGGCAATGAGCGGCCAGGGGGGGTGCTAAACTACAAGGCCACGCATACCATTTGACAATGACTCCAGTTCAGCCTATACTTTTGGTGAAGTTCAGTTTCCCTTGGAGGAAGACTTCAGTGGATGCTTGAACTGGGTACTTTGGAGACCCACATGGAAGGTTACTCTTGCTGTCCTGAGGACTCTTGCAGGAACAAGGGTGGCATCTTGAACTCGTCATTGAGACATAAATAGAGCAAACCACCCCCCCACTCCCCACCCCAAGACTTCTTGGACAGGCCAGCGCCTGGGCTGGCTGGCCAGGCGGCTGGGCAGGTGGGGAGGCTCTCCTCCTCTCTGTGCCCCCATTGGTCTGAGGAGACTCCATGCCCTTTCTGAGCAGGGGCCCGGCCCAGGGAAAGCAATTTATACCCCTCCCCCTGGCCCACCAGCCCAACTCACTGCTGCCGGCCTGACCTCGCTCCCAGCCCTGCTGCACAGAATCTAGGTGAGGCCTGGCTCATCTTCTTGAGGCTAGAGAATAGGATACTACTCAGGCTAGCTCACAGGAGGACTTCCCCGGGCAGGGGCTTGGGGGTCTGGGGTCTGCTGTTCCCTCTGAGTTTTCCCACAGATCTGGGGTTGAGAAGCAACAGGTGCTGTTAGGACTGGGCCATGGTCTTCAACAGGCCTCGGATAACGGGCTCTGACTCTGGGGACACACAAGCAGGAGAATGTCCAGGTCACACAAGTGGGGACCTAAGCCCCCAGGCCATACAGAAGAGCACTTTCTTCCGTGCATTTACTTCTCAAGCCAAAGGAGCAAGAGTTAAAAATAACAGGCTCACTCTGGCAGCCACCTGTGCTGGCCAGCCCCACCCCACCCCTCCCTTAGGGACAGCTGCAGCTCCTCAGGCCCCGCCTGGGACATTTTGGGAACACTTTCTCCTCTTACTTCTCACCCTCAGGGTGGGGGTGGGGGGTGTCCTCCAAATCCTTGCCCTCTGAGAAGGTCTGAGTTTCGGGTAGATCAGAAGTGGGCCAGTGAGCCCAGGTCTCCATGCCTAGCCTCATGCAAGGCGGACACTGACACCATCACCTCTCTCCCCACAGGCTCAGAGCTCGAGATCTCAGGATGGGAGAGTAAGTGATACCCAGGGTGACCCATACTGCAGTCCCCTCACCAGGGCTTGGGTCTCCTATCTCCCTGCCCTCTGTGGCTACCGCCCACCCATCCCATCAACCCCATCAACCCCTAAGTTTCATGAGTACCTCCGTGAGCCCCAATCTAACTTCTCTTTTTTTCTCCCACTCCCACCTCCCTCTTCCTCCTGGGACAGTGAGGAGGTGAGTATCATTGAAGGCTATAATGGCTCCCTGAGGCTAGGACAGAAGACACCCCTGTCAAGGTCCCCAAATGCCCCACCCCCTGAACTACCCCAGAGAGAGAGGAAGTGCCTGCCTGGTGCTTTATGAAGCAAGGGAAGTACAACTTGGGCCTAGTCACAAGGGAATCACTTCTCCTTTCTAATTTCTGTTCACCACTCACCTTCCGGGTCTCCCCTTGCCCACAGCCTCTGAGGCCTGGCTATATACTGCCTCTTCATCCCCATTACCCACTTCAGCCCTATGTACCACCTATTCAAAGTGTTAGGACCACAGGCATGTGTCCCTGAAGCAGGCCCTGGACTTGGGAAAAAACAGGTCCCTGGGCAGTGGCCTTGTTACCTCCTTGGGGACCCCAAGTCAGATGGCTCCAAGGAGCTCAGAGCTCTAGCCAAGGCCTGACTCTGTCCCTCTGTCCTGTCCTGCAGAAGCGCAACAGGGCCATCACGGCCCGGAGACAGCACCTGAAGGTAAGGGTAGGCTGCTGCAGAGGACTGGGGGTATAGAGGTAGGGATGGGAGTCCACTGCAGACCCTCACTCCCACCAATCTTTTTCTCAGAGTGTGATGCTCCAGATCGCGGCCACAGAGCTGGAGAAGGAGGAAAGCCGCCGCGAATCTGAGAAGCAGAACTACCTGTCAGAACACTGCCCGCCTCTGCATATCCCAGGCTCCATGTCTGAAGTGCAGGTAGTTCTTTCCTGCCCCATACCACCCAAGGCCCTTGCTACCCCCACCCCTCAGCAGGTCAACCCTATTGATCAGGACTGGGAGGGGACAGTGGTCCTCAGGTGTCAGAGTGGCTGCCCACTCACTGCTTGCCCACTCAGGAACTCTGCAAACAACTGCATGCAAAGATCGATGTGGCCGAAGAGGAGAAATACGACATGGAGGTGAAGGTGCAGAAGAGCAGCAAGGAGGTGAGAGGGAGGAGCCAGTGGAGGGGTGAGTGGGACATACGGCACGGGGTGGAGTCAGTAGCTTGCAGGATAGGGCAGGTGATATGAAGGGGGAGCCAGGCGACTTGGGGTGAAACCAAGTGATATGGGGGTGAGGCCAGCTGCTATGAAATGAAACCAGGTGATGTGAAAGTAAAGCCAAAGGTCAGGGATATGGAGGGTGCCAGGCTCCTAAACCTCCTGCTCCTTCCTCCCAGCTGGAAGACATGAACCAGAAGCTATTTGACCTGAGGGGCAAGTTCAAGAGGCCCCCACTTCGGAGGGTGCGTATGTCCGCTGATGCCATGCTGAAGGCGCTGCTGGGCTCTAAGCACAAGGTGTGCATGGACCTGAGGGCCAACCTGAAGCAGGTCAAGAAGGAAGACACTGAGAAGGTAGGCCAGGGTCCAGGGGAGAGCCAAGAGGGAGCGTCTACTCACAATTCCTCTCATAGATACTAAACCAAGGCCCATGGGAGTCTGGAGCAGACTGGGGTGGATCTGAGACCTCTCTGGTCCTACCCTCAGGAGCGGGACCTGCGTGACGTGGGTGACTGGAGGAAGAATATCGAGGAGAAGTCTGGCATGGAGGGCCGGAAGAAGATGTTCGAGTCTGAGTCCTAACTGCCCACTTCCCCAGTCCCACCCTACCAGTGGGGAAGCACCCAACATCCAGGTTAGAAGTACTTGGCCTCACTCCAATAAAGGATTCACATCCCTTCCACTGCTGTGGTCTAGTCCTGTCTCTGTCCACTCGGGAGCCCATCAGCAGTGATCAGCAATGTGGCAGGACAGAGGCTGTACAGCTTAGGTAGAGTCTGAAGGCCCTGGGCTGTACACTGTAACTTGTGGGTGTGGTCAATGTCTGGACCTGCCTAACATAGCAGGACCTAGAGAAAGATGACCATGGAACTCCAACATGTCTGAGAGGGAGCTTCTGGGATCAGCTTCTTTGTCCCTTGATGCAGTCATTTACTCAGAATAGCTATGGCAGACACAACCCAAGGCAGGCTCAATCTCCATTCCTCCAGCACTGCCCGTTCTCAGGGGCCCATCTGAGACCAGAAGTCAGAAGCCATCCTGGAAGGCTGAACCTCTGTGTCCATCCCCAGACTCAGCTTAAGTCAACCCTACCTCCTCCTACACTAGTACCTGCCCATCTCTGGACACTGAGGGATGAAGGAAAGGCTAGGCCTGCACAGTTTGCCTGGATCTTCCTTGCACCTCACAAGGTCAAGAATACATTCACCCTGAGGAACATAGGGCCTGGGATATTTCAGCACTTGACTTCATTGCAGGCCCACAGGCTCCAGGCCATCCTACAGAAGTGCACATGGATATTCTGAGTCAGTAGCTCCCCACTTCCTCTAGAGGCTTGTACTCAGCTGGTAAGGCCTGGGTCCCTGTTCCTGAGTAGAGCTGCGACAGGCCCTACCTTGGCCCAGAAGGGAACTTGTCTTTCTTCTGTTAAATCCCAGGCCTTGGCCCAGCTAGAACAATATCCCCAACTAATCTGATAAGAGTCATTTTGGCATGGCTGTGTCCACATCCTTGCTTTGTGTGAGATGCTATCAGGGTCCTAGATCTCCAGTGGGGGATTCCAGAAGCAGTTGTTCCCATTCTGGAGCTATGAGGAACCCTGGCGGGTGCCCACTGATCCTCAAAATGCACTCCCTGGCCCTCGCTCTAGCATCTGGAGTCCTGGGTCCACCATGCTTCTCTCACCAGCTTCCAAAGCCCATCAAAGGCAGAGCCTCAGTCCCG